GTGCTCATTTGAGAATGTGTGGAAAGGAGGGGTAGGTGATTTGTATACATGGATGCGCAACCGAACAAATCTGCAAGCAACTGACTGCGTCGATGTTATAATGTCAATATGGACCCAAAAATCTCTGAGGAACATTTCCAAACCTTGTTGAATTATGCGATGAAGAATTTCAGGCAGCTCTGAAGGCAACCAGGGGCGTGTCCAACCCGGAACTAGCAAGGTGGCCCAAAAAAATTTGCCGGGAGCAGATTTAAGTTTTTCAGTGGGCAAATTTCCTTTTTTTGAACGTTGTTAAAAAATGATAACTGAGTAGCCCTTCAATTTCCCCCAGAAAAGAAAATTTTTTTCCCCAAAAGAATTTTGGGGATGACCTTTCTCACTGGGAAAGGGGTTTTCCCAGCGATAGGGGTGGAGGACAACGTAAAGGGGTTTCAGACTTACCCCATGAGGGGAAAGTTTCCAAAGCCTTTTTGAAACACCCGGAAAGAATTAGGGCCCGTTCTGAAAAGGAAAAGGGGGGCCCAAACCTGGTACTAGCTAGGTTTTCCCCAATAAAGTGGCCGTTAAAAGGGGGGATATTGGGGGGTTTCCCAAGGGGGGGGCATTTCCCCTGTTTGGGGGGAACCCTTGGGGAAAAGGGGATAATTCCTGGGGTAAGGGGGGCTTTGAACCACCTCAGAATTTTTATTGGGGCCCCAAAGTTTGGTTTTTTTTTTTGTTTTTTGCCTTTCCCGGGGGGTTTTTTTTGGATGATGTTTGGTAGGAAATGAAAGGAACCCCCTGGTTTTTTCAAGGGGGAAAACCCGATTTTTTTTCCAAAGGGCCCGGACTTTTGAAAAACCAAAAAAAATTTAAAAAACCCCAAAAAAGGCAAAAATGCCCGGAGGGCCCCGGGGTCAAATAAAGGGGGGCCCCAAAAAAAAAAAGAATCCACCTGGAAAAAAAAACCTTTTTCATTTGGTTTTTTGACTTGGGCAAAGGGCCCCAGGGGCCCCATGTTTCCCCTTTGCCCCCGGGGGCCCCTGGTTGTCGTCCCCCCCTGGGGGGATTTTAGTGGGGGTTTTTTTTTCAGGGGGTTTGGGTTGGCCCCAGTTCCAGTGAAGGAACTCTTTAAGGCGGGCATTTTGGGGCAATTTTAAGCCCCCAACTTTGTGGGGGGACCCTTTTGGGGATGGCCCCCTTCCGTTCCAAATGACTGCAAAACCAGTGCAAAATATTTAAAAGGGCCATAAAAACATGGGGGAAAACCCCGTTTGGGGTGGAGGAAACTTAACCCATCCCCGCACAGGCCTTTAGTTTTTGGGGAAGGGCACAGGGGCCCCATGTCCCCTATTGGGCCCGGGGGCCCCCTGAGTTTTCATTCCCCCCCTGGGGGGATTAAAGTGTGGGGGTTTTTTTTTTTAGGGGGTTTGGGCGGCCCCCAAATTTCATTTAAAAAAAAACTTTTAAGGCGGGCATTTTGGGGCAATTTCATGCCCCCAACTTTGTTTGGGGAAAAGTTTGGGGATTGGGTCCTTTCCCGTTGCAACATGACTGCACACCGTCACCTTTGCAAGGGCCCTAAAAAACATGGAGGGGCCCGTTGGGGGTGGAGGAAAATTGACTATTCTGCACCAAGGGCCTGAGTTTGGGCAAGGACACAGGGGCCCCCTTTATCCCCAAATTTCCCCGGGGGCCCCCTTTAAATTGTCAGTCCCCCCTGGAATACAAAGAGGGAAAGCTTTCAAAAACCTTGTTTAAAACCATGCCATGAAAAAAAAGAAAGAAGTTTTTCTGAAAGGGAAAAAAGGGGGTTTGACAGGAAATAAACAAGGTGTAAACCTTAAAAAATTTGTGGTTGGTGTTTTATCTTTAGAACATTCACAAAGGGCCACTTGGCCCGAAAGAGGTGGGGCCTGGGCCCAAATTTGGGGGAGATAGTTTCCCTTTGGGAAAGACCACGTGCCTTGAAAACCCATGACCCTGGTAACTTTGGGACAGATGGCGGTTGGCCCCCTTGGAGGACTGGCGGGGACCATGGATTTGAGATTTTTCTAAACAGGCCCCAATGGCCGAGGAAAGAGTTGGTTTTTAAACCTTCCTCATGGGAATTGACGGGAGGGTTTAAAACCCCAAAGCGAGGAGGTGCCCATCCTGGCACGGACCCAATGTTTAAACATACTGTAGGATCTTTTAGGAAAGTTGAAAAAGTTCACTTTCGCCGTATTTGGGAGTAGGAGGCAAAAAAGTATCATACATCAAGGGGGCAAAACATTCTACAGAGGCTTTTTCCCACTGAAGCAATCATTTGTACCAGCAACAAGAACCCCCTCACCCCAAAGAAAAAAGTTTTGGCCCTTTATTAGAAGAACCTTTCCCGCGGGGATTTTTAATAAAGGAAGAATATATTTTTGCACCTCGGAGTTCGGTGCTCCTGCTGCGGGAAAACACGATCAAGGAGAAGTCAGTACGAAGCAACTGCGTCCGGGGGGTGGCAGCTGTGAAACAACCGGGAAGGCATGAGTGGCCCCCAGCTATTGAACCGCATTGGGGGGGGTTTTCTTTTTTTCTGAAAAAACATGGCGACTTTTTCTACCGTCCTTTTTTTTTTTGGGTTTTGCCCTTTGTTTTTCCCCAGGTTCCTAGCCGGGGGCACTGCCCTTTTGGAAACCGGGGCATGCCCAGGGCCCCGGGTCAGGGGGGCCCCCATGAGATGCCCCTGGTCCCTTTTTCATAGGCTTTTTTGATTTTTGGGGCAAGGACACAGGGGCCCCTGTCCCCTATTCCGGGGGGGCCCAGGGTTTGTCAGTCCCCCCCTGTTCCTACACCCTAGAGACCACAAGGACGAGGCTAACTTCAGATTCACAAAACACGGTCTCCTAAAGAGACCCTGTTAGACCTGTGCAGAACAAAAAAGAAAAAAATTTTTTCGTTTTTCTTTGATTTGTTTTAAATAGTTTCATTTTGTTAAATTTGTTTAATTCATGTTTAGAAATTGTTTAAATTTTTAAAAACGATTTTTATTTATTTCCCCTTCAATTCGAATGGATATGAATTTCATTCAATTTTTATTTATTCTATTTGAAGTTTTATGGTTTAATTCTTTTTCATGCTTTTCTATTTTATTTTTTTTTTTTTTTTTATTCTATTTTGTAAACTCCACAAGCGGGCCCCCCTTTTCCCCTTTTGTAAGAATATATTGTAATTTTACTGTTCCCTTTTAAAATTTTAAAGCCGTGCAAAAAAGTTGGCGCTATAAAATCTGTTTATAAATTAAAATGTTTCTACTTTTTACCTCCCTTTTTTTATTTTTTTTTCCTTCAAACTACAATTTTAATTTTTTTTTTTAAATTTCAAAAATTTTGGAAGGGTTTTGTTCTTTCTTTTTTTTTCTATTGAACTCAAATTTGAGTGGATATGAATTGGGATTCAAATTTAATTTTTTCATTTGAAGTTTGAATTCGCAAGAGGGTTTTATTCTATTTCTTTATTTTATTTTTTTGTTTTTTTTCTATTTTATTCGTAACTCCGCAAGAGGGCCCCCTTTTTTTTCGTACTGAAAAATATTGTAATTGACTGTCTCCTTATATTGTAAAGCATCGCAAACTGTTGGCGCTATAAAGTCCGTTTAAAAATAATATTAGTATTCTATTTTTTCTATCCCCCTTTTTCTATTCTATTTTTTTTCATTCAAATCTATTGAAATTTGAATTTTAAATTTTTTTGAAATTCAAATTTTGGAAATGGGGCATTCAAATTATAATTTATTCTATTTGAAGTTTGAATTTCGCAAGATGGTTATATTCTATTTTTCATGCTATTCTATTTTATTGTTTTTTTTCTATTCTATTCTGTAAGCTCCGCAAGCAGGGCCCTCCTATTCCTTCTGTACTGAAATATATTGTAATTGTACTGTCTCCCTTATATTGTAAAGCACTGCGCAAACTGTTGGCGCTATATAAGTCCTGTATAATAATAATATTAGTATTCTATTCTTTTCTATTATCCCTTTTTCTATTCTATTCTATTCCATTCAAATCTATTTGAATTTGAATTTAATTTATTTGAAATTCTTTCTATTTTATTCTCATTATTTTATTCTATTGAACGGAAGATGGTTATGTTCTTTCTAGTTTTATATCTATTATTATATTTATTCTATTGAACTCTAAGCTAGTGTTTTTTTTTTCTGTTTCTATTCTATTCGAATGAGAACTTATTCTATTCGAAATTCAAATTTCAGAAGATAGTTATGTTCTTTCTATTTTATTCTATTATCTTTTATTCTATTGAACTCTAAGCTATTTTTTTTCTCTATTCTATTCTATTCGAATGAGAATTTATTCTAGTCAAAATAAAAATTTCGGAAGACAGCTATATTCTTTCTATTTTATTCTATTTTTTTTTATTCTATTCTATTCTTTTCTGTTCTTATCTATTCTATTCTTTTATGTTGTATTCTGTTCTATTGTTTTTCTATTCTATTCTTTTCTATTTTTTTCTAATCTATTCTATTGTGTTCTTTTATGTTCTATTCTATTATTATTTTAGTCTAGTTCTAGTCTTATTCTTTTCTGTCTCTGCCTCTCCAGTAGTTGTTTGTTCTGTCAAAGTATTTTTGTTTCTTGCTTCACGCCCGGTGTTTCTGTCATTTCTCTTGTATACCTTCTTGTGACCCCGGAAGCATCTTTTTCTGTTATTTTATGACATACGGCTCCCCTGTGGTTCATTACCCTTGTTTGCTCCCCGCTGGTGTTTATCCAGACATAACATTGTTATTATTGCTACTTTCTCCGATTCCTTTACTCTGTTTATCTGTGTTTACTTTTTACTTAGATATGCTGGATGTAGTGGTGGTGCCATTTTTTGTTTAGCTTTCCTGATTTGGCACCAGAACATACTATGAGCTGCCTTTTCTCGACCTTTTCAACACAAAGGAGCCCTTGAGAGATAAACTTTCCGGGTCTCAGGGAACCCCTGCATAATAATTACTATATATTACAACTCAAGATTTACATTCCCCCTTACATTGGAGGTCAGTGGGAGAATGTTCCTTACATTGGTGATCAGTGGGAAGAATGTCCCTTACATTGGTGGTCAGTGGGAAAGAATGTCCCTTACATTGGTGGTCAGTGGGAAGAATGGCTCCCTTACTTTGGAGGTCAGTGGGCCAAGAGGAAAGAATGTTCCTTACATTGGTGATCAGTGGGAAGAATGTCCCTTACATTGGTGTTCAGCGGCGAAGAATGCCCCTTACATTGGTGATCAGTGGGAAAGAATGTCCCTTACATTGGAGTGGTCAGTGGGAAGAATGTACCCTTACATTGGTGATCAGTGGGAAGAATGTTCCTTACATGATGGTTGCAGTGGGAAGAATGTTTCTTACATTGGTGATCAGTGAGAAGAATGTCCCTTACATTGGTGGTCAGTGGGAAGGAAATGCTCCTTACATTGGGGGTCAGTGGGAAGGAATGCTCCTTACATTGGAGGTCAGTGGGAATGAATGTCCCCTTACATTGGTGATCAGTGGGAAGAATGTCCCTTACATTGGAGGTCAGTGGGAAGAATGCGCCCCACCTTACATTGGTGATCAGTGGAAATAATGTCCTTACATTGGTGGTGGGTCAGTGGAAAGAATGTCCCTTACATTGGTGATCAGTGGTGAAGAATGACTCCCATTACATTGGTGATCAGTGGGAAGAATGCTCCTTAAATTGGTGATCAGTGGAAAGAATGTCCCTTACATTGATGGTCAGTGAGAAGAACGTCCCTTACATTGATGGTCAGATGTGGATAAGAACGTCCTTACATCTGGAGGTACGTCAGTGGGCAAGAATGTCCCTAACATTGGGGGTCCAGTGGGAAGAATGTTCCTTAACATTGGTGAATCAGTGGGAAGTATGTCCCTTTACATTGGTGGCATCAGTGGGAAGAATGTCCCTTACATTGGGTGGTCAGTGGGGAAGAATAAAAAGAATCCCTTACCATGGCTGGTTCAGTGGGAAGAATGTAGCTTACAATGGTGATCAGTGGGAAGAATGTTCCTTACATTGATGGTCAGCTGGGACAGAATGTTTCTTACATGGTGATCAGTGAGAAGAATGCCCACTTACATTGGTGATCAGTGTGGAAGAATGCTCCTTACATTGGTGATCACGTGGGAAAGGAATGCTCCTTAAATTGGTGATCAGTGGAAAGAATGTTCCCTTACATTGATGGTCAGTGAGAAGAACGTCCCTTACATTTGATGGTCAGGTGAGAAGAACGTACCACTTCACAATTGGAGGTCTAGTGGGAAGAATGTCCCTTACAATTGGGGGTCAGTGGGGAAGAATGTCCCTTACATATTTGGAGGTCAGTGGGAAAGAATAGATTGTCCCATTACATTGGTGCATCAGTGGGAAGAATGTTCCTTACATTGGTGGTCAGTGGGAAGAATGCCCACCTTACATTGGGGGTCAGTGGGAAGAATGTTCCTTACATGGTGATCAGTGGGAAGAAATAACGAATGTTCCTTACATTGGTGGAGGTCAGTGTGGAAGAATGCCCCCTTACATAGGGGGGGTATCAGTGGGAAGAATGAAGTTCCTTACATTGGGTGATCCAGAGTGGGAAGAATGTCCCGTTATACATGGTGATCAGTGGGGAAGAATGTCCCTTATCATTGGATGGTCAGTGTGGGAAGAATGTCCCTTACATTGGGGGTCAGTGGTAAGAAAGTCCCCTTACATTGGAGGTTCAGTGTGGAAGAATGTCCCTTACATTGGAGTGTTCAAGTGGGAAGAATGCCCCTTACATTGGGTCGATCAGTGGGAAGAATTTTTCCTTACATTGAGTGTCAGTGGGGAAGAATGCCCCTTTAACGATTTGGGGGACAGTGGGAAGAGATGTTCCTTACATTGGTGGTCAGTGGGAAGAATGCCCCTTACATTGGGGGTCAGTGGGAAGAATGTCCCTTACATTGGGCTGTCAGTGATGAAGAATGCCCCTTACATTGGGGGTCAGTGGAAGAACAAGGGAATGTCCCTTTACATTGGTGGGATCAGTGAGTGGGTAGAATGTCCCTTACAATTGGGTGATCAGTTGGGAAGAATGGCCCCTTTTTTTTTACACATTGGTGGTCATAGAGAAGAATTGCCCCCTTAACAGTTAGATGGGTTGTGACGTGCAAAATTTGTAGCAAATACATCAGACCTGACCAGTCTAATCACACCACAATCAAAGACACTTAAATCCCCTTTTTTCATCATTCTGATGCTCGGATGATTGAAAGCTTCAGCAAGATATAGTCATAGAGGCCTAAATGCACTTGAGATGCCTGCCATGTGATCTGGCTGAATAATGCAATTTGTGTTACCAGTCAAATTGAACAGAGTGGAAGCCATACATAAAGATGGCAGGTAGTGGTGTATACATAGTTGCAAGAAAAAGTAATTTGAACCCCTTTGGGATTAACGTTGGAGTTTTGCAATGAAATTGGGCATAAAATGTGCTCTGAACGTCATCAACGTACACAACTATAGAAGATCACAGTCAGCTGAAACCATCATTCACTAATACACAAACATTAGATGTTTGCCATGGTTTAAATTGCACACTAACAATTGTACAACATTTCAACAGTGCAGGGATGAAATAGTATGTGTAACCATTGGATCTATAATTAACTGGTTGACCCCTCCTTTAGCAGCACTAACCTCAACCAAACGTTTTCCTATAGTTGCAGCTCAGACCCTGCACAACAAATCTGGAGATAATTTTGGGACCACTCCTCTTCACAAAACTGTTTACAGTGTAGCAATAATTCCTTGGTTGATGTCTGGTGTGAATACGCTCTCTTAAGAGTCATGCCACAGCAATTCCAACTCGGGTTCGAGGTCAGGACTCATGGACTGGGCCAACTCCAGAAGGCGTATTCTGTGCTGTTGCAGCCAATTGTTTTGTTTGAAATTAACTTGTATGCTTTGGGTCATTGTCCAGTTGCATCAACCCATCCTCTTGCGGAGCTTCAGTTGGCTGGACAGTGTACGTACGTTTTCCTGCAAAATGTGCTTGATAAACACAGGAATTCCATTTTCCCATTCAATGACAACAATCCGTTCCAGGCCCGTGAGGCAGCCAAAGCAGCCCCAAAACCATGATGCTCCCTCACCGCCATTGTTTTACAGTGGGGATGAGGTTTTGAATGTTTGGTGTGCTGTTGCCTTTTTTTTCTCCACACCATATGTGTTGTGTGTGTTCTTCCGCAAAACACACTCAATCATGGTTTCATCTGTCCACAGTATATTTTGCCAGTTAGTTGCATGGTGGAACATCCAGGTGCTACATTTTGCAAACTACAAAGTCGTTGCTTGCAATATTCTTTATTGTCACAGCAATGACTTCCTCCCGTGGTGTCCTCCCAATGTTACTCACATTCTTGTTTAATGTTTTCCTTATTGTAGATGTGTCAACAAAAAATGTTAGCAATGTGCCAGAGATTTTCTGTAGGTCTTTAGCAAGACACTCAGGTGATTATTTCTTTACACCCACATGCAGCAATCTTGCGCTGTGCTCATGCAGTGTTACACTTTTTACAGGACGACCACGCCTCGGGAGAGTTAGCAACCAGTGCTAAACCTTTCCTCCAATTGGTTAGACAGTCTTGTTCTTACCGTGGACCCATGACACATCAAGGCGTTTTGGACAAATTACTTTTGTAACCCCTTTTCCATGCTTCATGCAAGTCAACAATACCTTTATCCGTAGGATCTTCTGAGAGCTCTTTTCTGCGGACGTGCATGGTTCACATCAGGACAGAGCTTTCTTGGAAACCAGAAAACCCAAAACAGGTGTGTGTGTATTTTAAGGGCAGGACAGCTGTCAGGCATCACATTCCAATATTCAGTCTACAATGATTGTAGTCAAGGATGGCTCACTCCTGGCTCCAGTATGCTGCACTGGGAGGACAGTCATTAGAGCATAGGGCCCTCACATTACTATTTTCCTCCCCTGACACTGGTGAACATGTTTACATGTTAAGTGTGCTATACTAAACCATGGCAACATCTAATGTTAAGTGTAGTACTATGTTCAGCAGACTGTGTTTCTTCTAATTTGTTGTGACTTAGATGACGTTTCAGAGCACATTTGTATGCCCAATACATTGCAAAACTCCACGTAATCCCATGGTGTTCACATACTTCCTTTTCTTGGCAACTGTAATATTGTAGGGTAGAGGTGCCCAAAAATAATGTGCCCTCCATCTTGTTGAAGTACTACACTCCCCATCATGCCACTGCCTCTACGAGTGAATCTTGCCTATTGGCATGTACAGAGTTCTTGCAACCGGCATCATGGACTCGCAGTGAGTTCCTCAATCACATGGAGGGCCATAGTTAGCTTGGAGACCCCCTGGTTGTAGGGTATATAGGTCACCATTGCTCGATTATCCTAAGAAAACCACGAGTTATCCCGGACTTGGATTTTGAGGAGGAAATCGGGCCAAGCCGCCACAATTGATGTCTTGGTGAAATCCTATGGGTTTTATTTAATCGGGGCAGAGTAGCTTCCCAGCACATACGGGCGAACCTTTTCCACCTCAAGCCACGCCCGCCAACGGCATCTCGCCCGTAACTACCTACCAAGATTAGCATAAAGATGCCATGAGGGTTGAGATTTTACTAAAAGCAAATAGAACCTTGTGCGATTTGAAAAATGTGCAGTTTCTCCAGAGGCTTAGGCAAATGAACTGTGGTTGGGTATTTTTGTAAAGTGAAGCTTTACATGATTTATCTACGCTCTGGAGAGAAACAGTCACTTGCACATGAGTACACAGTTCCGTATTGTCTTTAAGTAAATCGGACCCCAAACAGGTAACGAAAAAACCCAAAACAAACTTCCTATTGAAACTCCACTCTAGCCACCTCAAATTTGAAGGGCAAGTTCTAAACTGTGACTGTGCCTTCATTTTTAATATTTCAGAGAACATACTATGCATCAACATGTAGGTCTTGGTTCTTGTGATTCACAATATAAGAGCTCTTTGCTGTAGGAATTTATAAGTTTTTAAACTACAAACCGTTTGAAGATGGCAACCGCCAGTGAAGTGAGCATGTGGAGGAGCAGTTGAAGTGAGCATGTTGGAGCAGTTTGTTTCACTGGCAACCGCCAGTGAAGTGAGCTTTGGAGCAGTCCGCCCCTGCACCAGGTTCAGGGGCGGACCTGGCAACTCATGGGGCCCCCGGGCAAATAGGGGATCTTGGGGCCCCCTGTGTCCTTGCCCAAACTCAAAAAAGCCTATGAAAAAGGTACCAGGGGCTTTCATGGGGCCCCACTACTGACCAGGGCCCTCGGGCAGTGCCGAGTTTCCAAATGGTCAGTTCCGCCCCTGCTTAGACCTTTGCGAAAAACCAACTCGGCTTCCTAAGTCACACACAGCAATATCGAGCGCAAAACACTTTATACCAAACATCTAAACGTTATCCCAACCTGTGAAGCATGTCGAGTCGATTTATTTGCTGCTTATTTGCCTCATGACCCAGGGACTGCTGTGCTATAGAAAACTAAATGATTCTAAAGTGTCTCAGGCTAATTTTATACACAAAAAGCAACAGCAAGGTGTCTGCCTTTGATCTAAAAGTAAAAAAAAAGTAAAAGCAGAGCCATGCAAACATGACAATAAAACTGCAGCGAAGTGCCTGAGGCAATACAAGTCTGCATTTTTCTCCTCTCTCAGACTCTGCCCCTTGTTTCCATTAGTCATTAATTACATGATTTTAGCTCAGATCTGTCATCAAATGAAGCCGTTTTTCTCAGGAAAAGATACAGCAATGATGTGTTGATTGTTTCTTGAACTACAACTGATCACAGATTACTATTTCACGAGCTGTTAGTGCCAAAAGACATAGATCCAGTACATCTTTATGGTTTGTAAATTGTTTTGTTACAAAAGTTTTAATATATTTCTTGTTCGTGGGATTTATAGAAAATGATTTAGAAAATGGGAGAATCATATTAACTGTTACTGAGAATGAACAACATCTAGTACAAGGAGTCGGTGGATTGGGGTGGGCAATTCAGTGCAGTATAGTATCCCCAGCTCTGCCCAATTCCCTGCTCAGTAGTAATCCCCAGCTCTGCGGATCCCTCGCTCAAGTAGTAACCGTCCAGCTCAGTGGATCCCTCCGCTTAGTAGTAACCCCCAGCTCTGCGGATCCCTCGCTCAGTAGTAACCCCCAGCTCTGCGGATCCCTCGCTCAGTAGTAACCGCCAGGTCTGTGCAGATCCCTCGCTCAGTAGTAACCTCCCAGCTCTGCGGATCCCTCGCTCAGTAGTAACCGCCAGCTCTGCGGATCCCTCGCTCAGTAGTAACCCCCAAGCTCTGCAGATCCCTCGCTCAGTAGTAACCCCCAGCTCTGCGGATCCCTCGCTCATTAGTAAACCGCCAGCACTCTACAGATTACTCGCTCCAGTAGTATCCCCAGCTCTGCAGATCCGTCGGCTCAGTAGTAA